ATTTCCTGTGTTCCGAGGCTCTGAGACCGTGGGCCTTGCTGACCCGTGGGCACTGCCTTTCCTGGGGTACCTGGCACTGGAGATGGTGCTGGGCTCACCTTGAACGCCTTTCCTATGCAAACCGACCAGTCCAGAGCCGCCCCGTCACCCATGGGGCTCTCACACTCAGCCACCGTCCCTGCCCTAGTTGCTCCAAGGCCAGGCAGCAGACAACTAGGGAGACCCCCTGCACCCCACCCCCAGCCCCGGCCACCCCAAACCTGCCCTCCTGGCTCCGTCCTTGGAAACCACAACCAAGGCTCTGGCCTGTATTTTCCTGTCACTCCCTTGGCCTGCCATGTGGCGTGGCTTCCCCTGTGGCCCCACGGGCCATCCGTGGGCATGGACTTCCTCCTCATGCCAGTCATTCCCGTGTCCGGGTCCACGTGCCTCGCAGAGGCGTCCCGCACGTCCTCCCTCCTGCGATGGCGCGAGGCCCTGTGAGGGGCCCTAACCGCCCTGCTTCCTGGTGAGGACCCCGGGGTTCAGGGGGGCGAGGGTTCCACTCCAGGCCACACAGCGGTGGAGGCAGGGATGGGATAGGCCTCAGGCTCAAGGATCCCTCCCCCTCCGCGCAGCCCTGTCCTCCAGGAAGTGGGGTGAGCTGCCCTAGCTTCCTGGGGGGCCTGGAGGCATCGCACCTTACCACAGGGCCTGGCACAGGTTCTTGCTCCTGGCAGAGCAGCCAAAACCAGATTCTGCAGGCCCAGCCCATGCCCCGGGCTCCTGTCACCCCGCCTGGCCCTCGGCGGCACTGGCTGCAGATCCGTTCCTCTTCTTGCTCAGGCTACACACACAACCCCTCTCTCTGCGGGCATCCGGGCTGCGTCCCTGTGTGCCGGGCTGTGTGCCGCCATGGCCCCCACCTGCGTCCAGACGCAGCAGCCGCCCCGCCCGCCCCGTGTGAGTCTAGACCACGCGCCTTCCCCGGACGTCCGCTCAGGCGAAGCCCCAGGCGCTGGCAAGTGCGGAAACAGCGGTCAGAGCCGCACTGGACAGGCCGCCTCTCCCGCCCTCTGCCGTGTTCTGCGCGGGACCGGGCGGAAGAGGCAGTGATGGGCATTTGCCTGATTGCAGCTGCGGCTTGGAGGGCGAGCGTGCGGGTGCTCTGTCACTGTAGCTCCGCAGGCATGGGTTATGGGGCGCTGGCACCCCGCAGGCATGGGTTTCGGGGCGCTGGTGCAGACCTTGTTGGATGTAGCAGATGACACGGCCTGGGGACGGGAGGTGGTGTTAGCGATAAGGCATCGGAGCCTTCGGAGGGGATTGACCTTGAAGCGCACAGAGCAGAGGTTTCCCTGCGTGTCCTTCGTGCCTCGAATGCCACGCGGGACCTCCGTGGGGCGTGGCCAATGGAGGTTAAACCATGCGCCGCCTCTAGTACTGCCGGCTCATACCTCGTGTCTCGGTTCCACCAAGAAGCCCCGGGGGGGCAAAGGCAGCCTGATAACGGCCGACGGGAGCGGGGCATTGTGGGAAGGCGGCCTGAGCTGCACCCCGAATACGTGGCAGGGGTGGGGCTGTTTCCGGGGGGACGCAGTGCTTCCCCGAGGTCCGAGGTCCGAGCTCAGCGCCCCGCCCGCCCAGCGAGGCCACCTGCCCAGGCCCGGCCTGGCCTGTCCGCCGCTGCGCTTCCCGAATGGCCTCTGCCTTCCAGCCCCGCCCGCCGGGCTCGGCCTCCCGGGGCGCCCTGCCCGCCCGAGGGGGAGGCCCAGCCAGATCCGGTCCCTGCGCCCGCTGTGCTGCTGTGCTGCTCAGGCAAGTCCCTGCCCCTCTCAGCTCCAGTTTCCGCCTGTGCCCAGTGAGTGGTGAGGACTGGCACCTATGTGCCACGTGGCACTGACCTCGGGGCTGAGTCTTGGTTATCTGTGGCCTCGCCGGGGTCTGGAGCAGGCTGTGCGCCCTCAGAGCGTGGACAGCTGACCGGGGAGGGTGGGGGGTGTTGGGCTTGGGGGCCTTTACAGCAGGGCCCAGCTCCAGGGGAGAAGGCGGCTGGGTGGCGTCTGGGGACAGGCTGGCTGGATTCTGTGCTTCCTCGGGGCTGCTGAGGGGAGGCGGGTGAGCAGAGGACGTGGGCCCAGCCGTCCAGCTCCTCTCGGAGCCCCATCGAGCCAGCATAGCTGCCCAGTCACGTGAGCAGCCGCCCGCCTGTCCATCCCTGCCTCACACACGCTGTCTCTCTGGTCCCCGTGTTGTGCCGTGCTTGGTCCCCAGCATGGCAGTACGTTCTAGCCTCCAGGGTTGACACTGCTCATCCCTCCTCACACCTACCTAGGGAGCACCCTGTCCTGGAATCCAGGCACCTCCAGCCCCTTGCCAGGCTGGCACTCCCATCGGGTGCTCCCATCGGGCACTGGCAGCGCCCCCGGGTGCCAGCCTCTTCCCTGCTGTGTGCAGGCATCGGGCAGAAGAGCATGAATTCATCTCATCTCTCACCCACGAAGCCCCTGCCAGCCAGTCAGTCATCGAGGCCCCCAAACCTCCTCTCGCTCACCGCCCATTCCAGGAGGGGAAGGTGAAGCTAATCGGGACTCCTGTGATGACTGGTGGATGGCATTTTATATCTATAGTCAGGGTGGTAAGAGCTGCAGCATCACGTGGGCACCTGAAGGCTAATGCAGCCTTTGGTCGTAACAACAGAGGCAGCAGTCCCAGAACAGAGGAGGGGACTTCTCCACCTCACTCTGTGATAGGCCATACCAGAGCCTTAGTTCTGGCTCCTCTACCCCAACCTGCGAGAGGGCAGGTCCAGCTGGAGAAGATTCAGAGACGGGCAGTCAGGGCTACGGGGTGAGGGAGGAGGGTCTGAGAAACACGCCCTGCCAAGACGGTTGAAGGGGAGGGAGGGGGTGCAGGGAGACTGAGGTCAGTTGGTAGAAAGGAGACAGAATTAGCTCCTTATAAACCAGTCAATCAATTACTCCAACTGGATGGGCGAGTGGGGAGGCGGAAGGGGCTTGGAGAGCCGTACGGTGGGAGTGACGAAACTGTACAGTTGGAGTAATGGATTGATTGATTTATAAATGCATCCATCTCTCTCTCTCCATTCATCCATCCATAATCCATACATCTCTGTCCATCAATTTCTCTATCCATTCACGCTTTATCCACCCATCTATGCTCCCATCCATCCATTATCCATGCATCCATCCCCTTCCATCCATCCACCCTCCATCCATCCATCATCTACCCATCCATCCATGCATCCGTCCATCATCTACCCATCCATGCCTCCATCCGTCCACACATCCATGCATCCCTCCATCCGCCCATCACCGTCTATCCACCTGATGGCTTGGAGTGCCACTTCAGGATGAGCTCGAGGAGGCCAAGCCACAAAGATGATCCAACGCCCATCGCCCTCCGTGGTTTGAGTTGTGTAACCTTAGGCAACCTCTCTGAGCGCCGGTTTTCCCGGATGTAAAACGGGGATAGTCAGACTTGGTGTCTGTGAACATTATACACAGCGGGTGAGCTGTCACGTCCAGGTGGACATCTCAGCAGACATGTTTGTGGCTCAGGAGGGCGTGGTGGTGGGCAGTTTCTGTGTTCACCAGCAGACACATCCCCTGCGTCCAAGCCCCGTGGCGCCCGCCTTCCTGGGAGAAACCAGACAATGCGGAGGGTGTCAAGCGAATGTACTGTGGCTCCTTCCTCCCCTCTCCCCCCCCCCCCGCCCCCCCCCGGCTTTGTGTACAGGAGCCTTGCCCCCCTTCCCTGGGGGGGAAGAGCCTCAGTTACGCCCTCCTGAGGTGGGAGGGACAGGGGACCACTGATAGCTTCCTGCTCACTCCCCGGTCCCCGGTCCCCGGTCCCCGGTCCCCGGGAGACGGAGCTGCGGAGATAAATGAAACTGTAGTTGGAGTAATTGGCTAATTTGCTTAAGGAACGCCCCCAGTCGGAGACATGACTTAAACGCATTAGTGCAGCTCCGGCTCCCCAGCCGGTGGCACTCGGCGTGGGGTGCGTGGGTGCCGTGAAACTGAGACAGAGTCAGAGCTGAAGGCGGTTGGCAGCGTGGCGAGGGGCTCCGTGAGGGGTCCCCCTGGCTCGGGCCTGGTGGCCTTGGAATCTGACCTGCTGACCCACGTGTGTGGGGTCACAAGGACTGATGTCCAGTGTGGCCTTGCCGCTCACCTGCTGTGGGGCCAGGGCAGGCGCCTGACCGTGGGGCCTGTTCCCAGCTGCAAGGCGGAGATGACAGCCCGCCTGGCAGGTTCTGCGGGGCCCAGCCTTTCACCTGGGGTGGCCGCCCGACAATGGGGTTCAGGAAATGGCAGTCCTCTCTCTGCGTCCTCTGTGCCTCCCCCAGCTGCCCAGGCCCGGGCGGATCTCTCCTCTGCCTGTGGGCAGTCTGAGCATCGCCATGGCTGGGCCCTCTGCACCCTGTCACCCTGCGGTGCTGTCGGGGCCTCTTTCGCCCAACCTGCTGGGACCTGTGGGGACAGAGATGGGTGAAGCAGACACGGCTACTTCCGGCTTCTGGGGCTGTTCTGCGCGGGGGCGGGCCGGCTGCTCAGCACCCCTGGGCCAGGCCCGATGGGGTGGGCAAGGTGGGGAGGTGGGAGGGGCTTGGAGGGCCGATCTCCACCTGCGTGGAGCCCCAGGGGACATGGCCAGGTCTGTTCCCGCCATGTCTCAGGGACCGCAGTCCCTGAGGGCGATACCGTGACCCGAGTGGAGTGGCCTGGGTGAGCATTAGGGACAGGTGGGGACTGGGGCACACTGATGTCTGCCTCCCGCCTGAGGGAGGGACACAGATACTCAGCAGGGACTGGCAGGATCATCAGATATTAAAATGGATTGATTTTTAGAAAATGGAATGACATTTTATTGGGAACCTCTGGAATATGTTTATGCTGGCAACAAACTCAAATGTAAAAACCCAAAAGTTTTGCCAAACAAACGGAGTCTGCGGGCCGGCCAGCAGCGTGCGTGTGTCGCCCGTGTCCGCCCCGCAGGCAGCCTGCCCTACGAGTACAAGATCGTGATCGCCGGCAACCACGAGCTGACCTTCGACCAGGAGTTCATGGCCGACCTCATCAAGCAGGACTTCTACTACTTCCCGTCCGTGTCGAAGCTGAAGCCGGAGAACTACGAGAACGTGCAGTCGCTGCTGACCAACTGCATCTACCTGCAGGACTCAGAGGTCACGGTGCGGGGCTTCCGGATCTACGGCTCCCCGTGGTGAGTGTGCCCGCGCTGGGCGGAGGGAGCCGAGGCTGAGGGGGGGCGGGCAGGCGGAAGTGGGGCAGTTAAGTCACAAGTACACACCCAGTCCCTATTGTCTGTTGGGGACGCAGAGTGGTCAGGCCTCATCCCTGAGCTACCTGGCTGGTGGGGATCAAAGTGAGGATGGGTCATGACTGTTCAGTGAGATGGTCAGTGGGTCCCGGGAGCCCAGGTGATGATGTGAGGGTGGTGATGATGGCAATGATGGTGATGGTGATGGTGATGGTGATGATGATGATGGCAATGATGGTGATGTCAGTGATGATGATGATGGTGATGATGGTGATGGTGATGATGGTGGTGATGATGATGATGGTGGTGATGATGGTGATGATTGTCATGGTGAGGGTGCCAGTGATGATGATGATGGTGATGTCAGTGATGATGATGATGGTGATGGTGATGGTGATGGTGATGATGGTGGTGGTGATGATGGTGATGATGGTGATGATTGTCATGGTGAGGGTGTCATAGTGATGATGATGATGGTGATGTCAGTGATGATGATGATGGTGATGATGGTGGTGGTGATGATGGTGATGATGGTGATGATTGTCATGGTGAGGGTGTCATAGTGATGATGATGACCGTGATGTCAGTGATGTTGATGATGATGGTCATGGTGATGATGATGATGATGATGAAGATGACAGCGATAAGGGTGGTGGCAGCAAATCATTCCTGAGCGATCACGGGAAGCCAGGCCCTGGCTAAGGTCTCTGTGAGCATCGTCTCAGATCCTGCTCAGCCTGGGGGACTGACTTCTTGTCCCCGTCCCACAGGTGGACAGACTGGCATTGGCGGCCCAGCTGGCAATAGCCGCAGGGTGCCAGCTGCTGGAGGGTGAGGTGGGTCCCAGACACAGCAGGGACGGACCACTGTGCTTGAAAGTGGGTCCCGATCTCGCGGGGCTCCCTGGAGAGGTGGGTGATCTGAGCCAGGAAGGAAGAGCCGTGGGTACAGAGGGCGGGGATCAGGGCCTGAGACGGCGCCATCAGCCAGAGCGGCACACGCAGGAGGCTGAGGGGCGATTTGGGGGGACATGGGGCCTGTGTGGGTGCAGGGACTTCAGGGAGAGCTGCTGCCGTCACAGTGTGTCTGGGGAACCCCTGGGCTGCCCTGGATGGTGCCAGTGCTGACCCCCTGAGGCTGCGGGCAGCTTTGGGCCTGGTCTCATCCTGCCAAGGCCTCCTCAGGGAGAGAGGGGAGATGCCAGCCCGTCCCAGCTTTCCTGAGCCCAGGAGGTGCCCCCTGTCGCCTCCTGGTCCTCACCACATACAGGGTCTCTGTGCCCCTCCCTGCAGCCCGTGAGGTCCCGGCAAGCACCGGTGGGCACTCAGGGCTGTGGGGAGCTCAGTGCCCGGGACAGGAGAGGAGGCGGGCGAGTCTGCTGGGCAGGTGGGGAGCCCAGGCCTGGAGAAGGCTGGGGAGGCACAGACCAGGAAGGCTGCTAGGAGGGGAGCCGGAGTGAGCAAGCCCGGAGGCAGCGGAGCTGGGGGCAGGTCTGGGTTAGGGTGCAGGTGAGGAGTGGACGGGATGGGGTAGAGGGTCTGGAGGGTCAGATGGGAGGCCCTTGGGCGTCAGACCAGGGAATCTGGCCTAGATCTCTTGCCCACAAGTTTTTAATAACCTGCTTCCTCGACATCTCCCACATATCTAACCCCCCTTTAAAATGTTAAATTCTATAGAGGTTAACAGCAGGCTTTAAGACAAAACATCCTGGCTTCACCTCTTAAAGGCTGTGTGACCCTGGGGGAGTCACTTAACCTCTCTGTGCCCCAGTTTCCTCTCCTGGGAAATGGGAGTGACAGTGCCCTCTCCAGAGGTGGTTGCAAAGGTGTCAGAGGCCAATCCCTTGATTCAATGGGAGCCGTGGAGTGGAAGCCGTGGGAGCTGGGGTGACACAGCAGCCTCAGGGGCCGGGAAGGGTGTGGCAGGCAGAGGGAACAGCCCAGGTACAGGTGGGAGGCTTGAGGGGGCGTGGGCATTCTGAGAGCGGAATGTGGCTTCCAGGGCCTGAGTGGTGTCAATGGGAGAGAGGAAGCCAGAGGCCGGCAGCCAGGTCCCGCTGGCCGTGGCCATGGCCCCAGCTGTCACCTGGGGCTCCCATCTCTCAGGGAGTCACAGCTCCCTCTGCTTGTGGCTCCAGGTCACCCGCCTGCGGGAGCCCAGCACGTCACCGAGGCCTGGAAGGGACGCAGTGCGAGTAGGGGCAGGGCTGGCTCTCAGCCAAGTGCTTGGCCCAGACACACAGGGACGTCCCCACTGCTCTGTCTGTCCCTCCGTGTCTGACCTGGCAGGCCTGGGCCCCCCATCGGTGCCAGGGGGCCACTGTGCAGCTGGCTCCTCTCTGGGGTGTCTGGGCACCTGCTGGCCAGGCGGTTCTGTCCGGCCCCTTCGCCCACGTGCGGCGTCTGGGTCGGCCTCTCCCCGCGGGCCCTGTGCTCCAGGCCCGGCCGGCCTTGTTGCTGGGATGTTTGGTTTCTCTCGTCTTTTTCCCACGAGAACATCTGAGGCCTGCCCCTGCCTCTCTGTCTGGGGACCTCACTCCAGTGCCGAGGAGCTGATGGCATCCGGCCATCCTCATAGAGCTACTGAGTGAGTGAATGGGTGAAGGAACGGATGGACTGAAGTCAGGCCTGGGGACTCAGTTCAAACTCGGGCCCTGGCCGGTCTGGCTCAGTGGATAGAGCGTCGGCCTGCGGACCAAAGGGCCCCGGGTTCGATTCCGATCAAGGGCATGTACCTTGGCTGCAGCTCCTCCCTGGCCTGGGCCCTGGTAGAGGCTCGTGCAGGAGGCAACCAGCCGACGTGTTTCTCTCACATCGATATTTCTCTCTGTCTTTCCCTCTCTCTTCCACTCTCTCAAAAAATCAATGGAAAAATGTCCTCAGGTGAGGATAAAAAACCCACAAAAACACACAACAACTCGGGCCTGGCCTGCTCTCTGTGTCCGAGTCTGTGGTCTCCGTCCCCCTGTCGCTTCCCTTGCTGCCGTCCCCCCACACCCAGGGTGGAGGCCAGACACCCCATCCCTGGATTTGGTCCCCTCCATCACCCCCAGCCCAGTCTGGCAGGGAAGCCTGTGTCCGTGGGCACCTCCCGGTCCTGTGTCCGTGGGCACCTCCCTGGCCTGTGTCCGTGGGCACCTCCGGGCCTGTGTCCGTGGGCACCTCCCGGGCCTGTGTCCGTGGGCCGCCTCCCGGGCCTGTGTCCACCTCTTGGGCCGCCTCCCGGGCCTGTGTCCGTGGGCACCTCCCGGGCCGGTGTCCGTGGGCCGCCTCCCGGGCCTGTGTCCACCTCTTGGGCCGCCTCCCGGGCCTGTGTCCGTGGGCACCTCCGGGCCTGTGTCCGTGGGCACCTCCAGGCCTGTGTCTGTCCTGGCGCAGGGAAGGCGGCCCCTTGTGCCGTGGGCACCGGCCTTTGGCAGAGCAGCTTAGAGGAGGGGGCGGGGCCAGCGCGGAAGAGGAAGAGCTGAGGGGATGACAAATCCTGAGTGTAACAGCTCCGCACACACTCCGTGATCATGTATGGGTTTTGGATGCATTTTTTGTTCTCATTTAACTGAGAACGGCCTTGATTTTTCTCAGAAAAAGGAGTGAGTGAGGGAGGGAGGGAAATTGGCAGGCAGCGCGCCCATCTGGCCTAATTACTCCTGGCATTTTGCAGAAGGAATCTAAACCTGCTGAAACTTTAAACTTCAAGAAGTGGCTGCGGGCCTGCGCGGGGCATGGGTCCTGCTTCTGGGCTTGGCTGCCTCCGGGCAGGGCGGGGCCTGGGGCTGGCAGGGCGGGGCCTGGGGCTGGCAGGGGTGCCCGGGTCCCGCCCCTCTGCAGGCACTCGGCTCTGTGGCCTTGGGACAGGATCTTGGCTCTCTGTGGAATGACAACACCCCTTGCAGGGTCGTCCTTAGGATTTAAGGAGGTCGGATGTGTGTGCTCAGCACACGGAGACATTCGACACCTGGTCCCACTCACCCCAGATCTCCACAGCCACTGCCCCCCTCCCCCCGCCCAGAGTGGGGGCTGGGGGCCCTCAAAGTTGTTCTTGTATAGCCGGTGGGGTGTGGGCAGGGCTGGGCGGCCTGGGTCACACTGGGGGGCTCAGCAGGAGCCTTTGATGCCTTCCCTTCCAGGTGTGCAGAGGGGGCTGTCAGATGGGTGGAGGCAGGAGCGTTGGGGGTTTCCACCTGTCCCCCGCAGGGTCCCAGGAACTGTTCTCGCTGCTTCCCCGGGCTCCGCCTTGGCGCCGGGCACATCTTTGCAACAGGCAGTGAGGTCTGACCTTGTCCCCACTGTGTGGCTGAGCCTGAGCCCCATGAAATGAAGGGACTTGCTTGAGGTCCCACAGTCACCGAGGCCGAGCTGGGCCTGGGGAAGGCGAGGTCCCCCTGCCCCTCCCAGAGCTGCGCACAGTGGGTCCGCAAATGCTTCCTTTCTAACATGGTCAAATGGATCTTCTAGCGGCGGTTCTCAACCTTCCTAATGCCGTGGCCCTTTAATACAGTTCCTCATGCTGTGGGGACCCCCAACCATAAAATTATTTCCGTTGCTACTTCATAACTAATTTTGCTACTGTTATGAATCGTCATGTAAATATCTGATATGCAGGATGTATTCTCATTGTTACAATTTGAACATAATGAAAGCGTAGTGATTAATCACAAAAACAATATGTGATTATATATGTGTTTTCCGATGGTCTTAGGCGACCCCTGTGAAAGGGGTCGCGACCCACAGGTTGAGAACCGCTGCTCTAGCGGAAAGGGAGTCGAGGGTGAGCTAGTGAAGCCGTAGCTCTTTCCCGCCTCACAAATGCCTCTGCCAGACTGTGATCCGGGTCCTGGTCCTGCCTGAGGCGGCGGCCTCCCTGGCTCCCGCTGTCCCCTGCTGTCCCAGGTGCTGGCGGGTGACCCCAGTGAGGCCGTCTCTGCCCGTGATGCCCCTGCCCCTGGC